TGATCTCTCCTGAGAAATGACTTTGAGGAGGAGCCATTGTCCTGACTTGAACTGTCTTCTCCAGTGGTGGGATTCAATTTTTTTTTACTACCAGTTCTGTGGTGGACGTGGTTTGGGTGGTGTGGCTAGATGGGTGTAGCTTGGTGGATGTGGCAGGGGAAGGTTACTGCAAAATCCATTCCTCCCCACCCCACTAACCAGTTTTCCAGCTCTGTTCTCCTGTGCAGGGCCACAAAAGAAGACCCAGCCTATCAGCTGGGACTCGGGAAGAGGAGAATAGATGAGGGGTGTCAGAGGTGGTTTTTGACGGTTCTCTGAACTACTCAAAATTTCAGCTACTGATTCTGCAGAACTGCTCAGAATCTGCTGAATACCACCTCTGGTCTTCCCTGAATGTGCTTTGGAACACATATTTCTATTGAAATAACTGCAGGTGCTCAGCATGACAAAGTCTGTCAATCTCATCTTGATCTGTTCTTCTCACAGCTAAGGTGCAACAGGAAATTGATGAGGTGGTGGGTACAAATCGCACTCCAAGCATGGAAGACCGATTGAAGATGCCTTTCACAAATGCTGTTGTTCATGAAGTTCAGCGATATCAGAAAGGGTCTCTTGAGACCTTTCCACGGGCAGCAACTTGTGAGACAAAGTTCCATGGTTACAACATTCCCAAGGTATGATGATACTAGTATTTATGAAGGTTCTCTAGAGAAATAAGGAAAGAACAACTTAGATCCTTGATATGCAAGGTAGTTTGAATAAAAGAGCAATTTAGAGAAATATGTATTGAAAGAAATATCTATTCCTTTCTCCTCATTCTTCAAGGTTCAGCAGATGGCTAGTCACTGCCTGTCTTTATTTTAAGCAAGTGGAAAGCAAAGGCACTTTCTTCTCCATATGAAATAATATGATCTAATGACATCTGTTTCTTTCTCTCCTTCTAGTCCATGCCTATTGTGCCAGTCTTCTCCTCTGTACATTTTGACCCTCTTCATTGGGAGACTCCAGAAAAGTTCAATCCCAATCATTTTTTGGATGAAAATGGCCAGTTCAGGAAAAAGGATGCTTTCATGCCATTCTCAGCAGGTACAGGTCTCTGGTACAGATTGTATTACTAATTCGTATGCTTACCTGATCCACGTTAGTCTTTTATCAGAGACAATTCCAGCAAGTACTTCCTAAATAACCTCTGTTTCTTCATTTCTATCGCAGGGAAGAGGGCCTGTCCAGGGGAGGCCCTGGCTAGGATGGAGCTCTTCCTGTTCTTCAGTGCTCTGCTCCAGAATTTCACTTTCTCTCTGGTTGGGGACACCAAAGATACGGATGTAATGTCTTTGTATACGGACTTCAGAAATAATCAATACCCCCTTATACGAGCTGCTAAACGTTCAGTGGACACTTGAGGTCAATAATTAGGAGAAAGTGTCTACATTAATAGTTACTGAAATAAAGCATGTGGGATGACTATTACATTTAAAGGTAATCTTAACAATGATGTGGAATAGATATATATTAATTTTTATAGCAAAGATAGCTACTTTGATCTCTTATCTCATTACATATTTTGGCACAATTAACAATACTTCTGAAACACTTAATAGCTTTTTTCTCCTAAGCTATATTCAGAAAACTTTCAATATATAATCTGTACTGGAGATTTAACCATACAATTAGACGTATCACAAATTGATGTTGTGGACTAATCTATATTTGAAGGAAACAGGGAAGATCTTGTATTAGTACACTTTGGCTAAATGCAAGATCAAGTCATGTTTAAATCTGATGATATCTAACGGTTGCTTTAAAAACTGACAGACTATTGTATATGATTGAACTATAATATTTGCTATATCTAATCTCTGATAGATAACTTTATTGTTGTGGATAATAAAGAATTAGAACATATAATTTCAGAAAATCAATGGTTCCAGGTTTACAAAATGCAAAAAATACATCTTAGAATTTCAAAATGGAAGCCATTCCTCAGAAAATTTTCTTTCACATTTACTGGATTCCTCAAAGGGCTCTTGTTCTTTTTTTGGTCCACTAGTAATAAAATTGATCCAAGGAGATTCTGCCTACAAAATGGAATTAATCAACAACCCAGTTACATGAATCTTACATAGATATATTATGCAGAATGCCCTCAAGGATGTCCTTGTTGTGATTATGGAATTTGATAATGGTCAAAATCTTTTTGGTGACCAAATAAAACAAATACCCTTTAAAAATATTTCAAATTCAATTTGATTCTTTGATCTCCCTTTATTCTTTTCTGCTAGCTTTTTAAAGTTTGAAATTATTTGAATTAAAGCAGGTTGTCCTCAAATTAGAGACCAACTGCCTGAAGCCCATATATTGAATGTTTGAGGGTCTCCACTTCTTCTCTCAGAACCCTCAGTTTACCTACCATACCATCACACATCTGCTTTGGTGTAGATAGTAACTGGTCTGTTGTGATCCTCTCTACATTCTCTGAGACAGAAGATGAAGAAGATGAAATGTTTTGTTGATCTAAGGAGCTGGCCAGTAATTAAACATTTGAGATTGTTCCATGAGCAGAACAATGTGGTTGTTTTTTTTTTGTGTGTGCATATGTGTGTGCAGGCATGCGTGCGTATGTGTGTGTGTATGTAACTCAGATCATGAGGGGGCAGATTATGGTGGGCACATAGCTCAAGAACCATGCCAACAGTGACTCAGGACAGAGCAAAGATGATCAACATATCTGCTCAAAAAGAAAAAACACAAATGCCCCTAATTTAGCCATACCAGCATCAGTGGGGTATCAAACTGATGTTTCCTGGTCTTTAGATTTCTATTGGAAAACAAATATCTGAACCCAAATCTGCCTAGCTTTGTTGCTCTTGTTCCTTATCTAGCATTTGGGTCCCAGTTCCCAGCATTCCTTTGCAGAGGTGCGTGTGGGTGGGTGGCTAGATCAATGTAAGAAAATATAAATTAAAAACAATTTTACAGAAATCCCAATTTATGTTTTAAAAATAGATAAAAAAGATGAGTATTCCCTGACAGAGAATCTTTTGCCATGTTCTTCCTGGACAAATATACATTTTACACCATATATGCATTTTGTTAGTAATTCACATACATACTGTGTACATGTATACGGTTTTTCTACATGGCAGAAGGCTTTCTTTGCCCTCTATGCCATGTCAGGAAGAAGAGGCAGCCAAAATGGCTGCCACACAACCAGAGACAGCTTCAACCTAAGAAAAGTGGTGGAGCAAAGCTGGTGAACAGTGCTTGGAACTGGGTGAGAAGAATCCTTTATATTTAAAGTGCAACCCCAAGAAAACAAAGATTTAGAAAAAGAGTGACTCAGAACTATCTTTAAAGTGGCAGTGTCTCAGCACAGTGAGTAAAATTTCTAGATTTTTAAAATGAAAGGAAAAGGGGAAAAAAAGAAAATTTCTTAGAAATACAGAAAACCTGGCTTTTTAATTGGACAAATGTTGGCTGTGGATTGGCATTATAAATTGTTGGAACCACCTATATAAAAAGTTGGTATTATATTTGCATTTTGGAGAAAATGAGTAAAATCGAATAAGAAATAAGAAAAATAAAGTGAAAACTGATGCAAGATCACCACCTCTTGTCAAAGGAAGGTGTTAGAGATATACACCCTAGCAAAACGTGCAACGGCAGTTAGTCAGGCAGACAGATATGTGAGATAAACGTTGTTGTAGCTTACACTCAGTAAAACAGATACACTGTGCCTGTTAAATAGTTTTTATTCCAGTCAGAGTTATAGCATAGTCAAACAGTCCATATATCATACACTTGGTTGTTATGTCTCACCTATTTTCACAAGTGAGAATACAGAGTTCCACAATTCAAAACATTCAAACAAAACAGAAGCAGACTAAAAAAGGGTTAATAGTACTATATTCCAGTCCTTGGCAGACTTCCCGGAATCTGTCTGGTAATTCAGAATGTCCATAAATTACAAAGGCCGCTCCCCACGTATCCTTTTGACAGATCAAACACTTTGCTTCCAAAGTTTGAGAATCATCACGCCTCCTTAAATCACCTGGATTGGCGT